AGCAGAGTTTAAAAAGTGACCCACAGGCCGGGTGTGTTGGCGCATACCTTTAATCCCAGCACTCGGGAGGCAGAGGAAGGTGGATCTGTGAGTTCGAGGCCAGCCTGGCCTCCATAGTGAATCCAGGACAGCTGGGGCTAGAGGGACAGTCTCAAAAAGACCCCAAAATTGAAAAGACAAGCTACAGACTGGAAGATGTCTGTGAAATATGTTCCAACAAAGGACTTAATGAAGAACACTCTGAATTCAGAGTAGGAAAATCCAATTAGGTCAAATTTTAAAATGGGCAAAAGATTTAAACAGATACCTAAGTACAAAGATGTATGGAGGTGGGTCGGCAAATAAACAAATGTTTGGTATTACCATTAGCCACTACTGAAAAATCAAATCAAGGCCATACGAGATGCCACCACAACTTATTGCAACAGCACAAATAAAAACACCAGCCTGGTCTGGACACAGGGCAGCTGCCGCTCTCAGAGTTTCAGGGGGAGTGAAAAATGGTTCTGCCACTCTGAAACAATGGTAGCTTTTTATCATTTCAATCAGCTGTTCATAATATGACCCAGCAATCCTAATCTTAGGTATTAACCTCAAAGAAATAAAAATTAATTTATGCAAAAATCCATTCATGGGGATGTCTATTATAATCACCCCAAATCTAGAATCCAAATTCCCTCTGCTGGGTGAATGGATAGACAAGCAGGTGCCTCCACACAGTGGAGTACCACTCGGTCTCAGAAAGGAACTAGGTACTGGTACACAAGCTTAGATGGAGTGACAGAAGCTGGGCTCAAGACACTAAACTCTATGGCTCCATTCCCGCAGTATCTTGCAAGTGAAACCTCTGTGTCGAGCTCTTCAGTAGTTATTGGGCTCAAGGGCCACAGGGTTCCAAGCCTGAAGAGATGGAATGTGGAACTCATCAGAGGTGACAGGATTCCACCTTCCTGATTCTTACTGGTTCCACAAGTCTATAGAGGTGGTAAACCTCTTAGAAGCATGTAGGAAACACAAGTTGATTTTGCTGTTTACTAATTTACAAAAACAAAATTCCAAAGCACATAAAAAAATTGAACATATGAGAAAAAGTAATGGGTTGTCAAGAGAAGGTGAAGGGGCTGTGTAACATCAGAGACGTTTAGAATAGGGAACACTAGTGGGAAGGTTAGAAACGGTAAAGAGGTAGACATAGTCTAAGCTTCCTGTTACCTGTTGACACTAATGAATCAGCTGACAGACTGTAAAGAGAAGCAGGCCCATAATTTCAGGTGGAGACTCACATAGACCAAAAGGCTATGGCAGATTTGGACCTGGTCTAAGAGACATTTACAGAGACACAAGATACAGCTCAGTGACATGAAAACCACAACAATTAAACTAGGAATAATCAACAAGCATACCTGGAAAATCTCAACTGTTTTAACAATAGGAATGTTTGATCAGTGATGTGGGGGCAGGCTTTGAGTAGTCCCCCAGTGCTGGTTATTTTGTTCCAGATAAGGAGCCTGGGTCATGCTGAGCTCCTGCAGGGCAGCGTGGAGCAGCTGTAAATCAGCTTCCAGAAAATAAGTGGCTGCCTTGACCCTCCCTAGGTACTGAGAACAGCCATAGGAGCTCCAAGGAGACCTGCTCTTCCTCCACTTTGGTCCATACCTGGTCCTGCCTCAGCCCCAGCACCCTCCAGGAGTGACCGCTGCTAACCCACTGTCTTTCTTGCAGGAAGCCACCTGGTGCCCGATCTTTGCCTCTCCGCCCCTTGCCAGAACGGGGGCACCTGTGTGGATGCGGATCAGGGATTCGTGTGCGAGTGTCCCGAAGGCTTCATGGGCTTGGACTGCAGGGAGAGTGCGTCAGGGCTGCGTCCCAGGGCTGGGGCAGGAGACCCAGGGCCTGCCTGTGGCAGCAGAGTCGGGGAGGGGCCTCCCTTGGGTTGTGCATGCAGGAAAGTCCACGAGAAAAAAAAAAAATGTGTGAGTGTGTGTGTGCTCGGCAGGTTTGTGGGAGGGTGGCCAGGATCAGCCAGGGTTAGGGGAGAGGGGCCACCTTCCCATCCCCATGGTAGTTTCTTCCATTTTCCTGCTGCAGGCATCCCCAACGACTGCGAGTGCAGAAACGGAGGCAGATGCCTGGGTGCCAACACCACCCTCTGTCAGTGTCCCCCAGGCTTCTTTGGGATCCTCTGTGAATTTGGTAGGTGCCTAGGGTTGGTGGAGCATCCTTCCTGCCCTGTCCCTGGACATCCCTAGTGGGGGTCACTGGGTCTTGGACAACCCCACCTTCATCAAGGAGGCACGACCCCAGGAAAGGCAGGCTCTAGAGGAAATCTTCCTCTGCAGAAGTCACAACCACGCCCTGCAACATGAACACCCAGTGCCCAGATGGAGGTTACTGCATGGAGTATGGCGGGAGCTACCTGTGCGTCTGCCACACTGACCACAACATCAGCCACATCAGCCACGGTGAGTGGCTAGGGACAGGTCTATGGGGATCCAGGCCAGAGACCTGGATAGGGTGTCTGGTGGAAAAGGTGCAGGTGGTGAGGCTAGCCAGGGCTTCCGGGAGAGCCTGCAGGTGCAGGAGGCGCTGGCAACAGCCTCACTCGCCCTGCGCCGGGAGCCTCCTTCACTCCCAGAGGAAAAGCCTTTTGACAGATACAGACTACATGCTGTCTCCCCTCATGCCTGGGCACAAACTAAAATACTTAACGCATACATGATTATGCACGACGGATGCATTTTGTACTCCACTGTTAGTGTAAAGATGACCGATCACTTCCGGGGTTTGTAATTATAATGTCGCTGGTGCTGTGACAGCTCCGTTACCTCGTTGGAGAGGACGGGTGCTGCTAAAATCCAAACCGGGAGAGACCCGGGGTGGGTGGGGCTTCAGTGAGGAACCTCCCGACTCCCGCAGTGTATTTTAAGTGGCCTTGGCTCCAGACGAGGTCAGGGTGACCCTGGCAGGCTCCAAAAACACCTTCTCCCTCCTCCCCCAGCCCTGCCATCGCCCTGCGACTCCGATCCTTGCTTTAATGGAGGCTCCTGTGACGCCCACGACGACTCCTACACGTGCGAGTGCCCGCGTGGGTTCCACGGCAGGCACTGCGAGAAAGGCACGACCTTGTGGGGTGCGGGGCGGGGAGCGGGGTCCGGGGTGTGAAGGGGCGGGGAGGGGAGAAGGACAGGAGAGGTGGGCTCCTGGAGCGGTGCTAGGGCCAGGACCGGGAGAAGAGGGAGGGGAGAGGAGTGCGTGGATCCTGGAGCCGCGCTGCGGGAGGACTGGGAGAAAGGGGGCGGGCGCACGCCTACCGGCGCCCCGCCGTCAGCACCATGGAGAGCGCCAGCTCTGGGGCCCACGGATCTCGGCTTTGGACACTCCTCTGGAGCCTCTGTGTATCTGGGGCAGCCTGATCCTGGGGCAGCACTGTTCGAGCCTCCCCATCTTGACTGTTATTTTCGTTACCTATTCCGGTCTGTGTGTCTCAGGGACAGGCCTCATTTTTCACTCAGCATTTTTCCAAATAGTTACACTGAACTTAGAAAATAATTTCATTAGGATTTTGTTAAATATAGTCTATCAGATAATGTATCATCTTACAACATTTAACAACTTAGAATTTAAGTATTCTTCCATAAATGCATTGCAGGGGTGGCCATCTCCAACCAGGACTGTTCTCTCTCATGCATCCTGAAGCTATGTTTGGTGACCACACACACACACACACACACACACACACACACACACCACAAACTGCATCTCAGGCATCCCCTTGACAGGGGGGTGCTGTGGCCTGATCTTTCAGCTCAGGGCTCTGTGGCCTGGCTGGTCAGGAGAGCCAAGACCACAGTGGAGTTACAAGGAGCCTTTTCACACTAGAGACTGCATACCTAAGCCAGATTTCTGACAATGATGCCTGGGACCCTATAGCTTCCTCTGCCCCAGCAGCAGCAGCAGGGATTTCCAAAAATGGTTATCCTTGAGACCATTATCCTTGGTAATCCTCTGCATGGTTATCCTTGAGACCTGCTGAGGTCTTTGGCCCTCCATACATTCCTGAGTCACCCACACTCCCATACAGGAGCTCTTCCAGATCCTGCTCTGGGCCTCTTCTAGCTGCACACCCCCCATGAAATGCTGAGGCCACAGCTCTCTCTAGGGGATGTCCAACCCAAATCCCACTCATCTCTCTAGGCCAGGTTCCCAGGGCCCAGTGTCCCTGTCTCACTAGTCCTGTGCTACTTCAGGAAATACACAGGCCTCCCCCACGGTCCTTGCTCCCAAAAGTAGATGGAGCCACCAGTGTGGACACAGATCCCAAGAGGCAGCTTGAGGGTGGACATTTAGCTTGTGAGGCCCTCAGAGGAGGGGGAAGGATGAGTGCAGGGAGGGGGAAGGATGAGTGCAGGGAGTGGGAAGGAGGCTGGCAATCTTCTGTGGCACCTCCCTCTCCCAAATAGAATGATGAGGAACTCAAGGGCTAACTCACTAGCAGTTGTGAAGGGAGACATGTCACTATTTAATTCATACTTCTAATTACATGGCTATCCCAGCCACACAACTAGGTACCTGAGCCATTCAGGGGCCTAGAAATTGCTTGAACCCAGAAGAGTTATACTGTCCACAACAGGGGCAGAAAATCAGAAAAATTAGAATTGACCACAGTGGGTGCCTATATCTTAGCAGCAACTCAGCTCCCCCAGACCAAACACTCATCACAGGAAGGAGGGAATATTGTTTTGCTGTGACTTGGGGCTTGTTCTCCAGCAGAGCAAGGACTGGCAGGCACAGGGCCTACCCAAGGCTAAGTGGTAGCCTATAGATTGTAAATCCCATCCACCCCTTGTCTGGTCCTGGCTGATTTGGCCCCTCTGTGTGGGTCTTGGGGCACAGCTGAGAAGCAGGTCTGCCTGCAGGCCCATCCAGTATCAAAGGTCTGAAAAAAAAACAGCATGGTAACAAGGATTCACATTCACCCATATCTCTGTCCTTCCATACAGCTCGGCCACACCTGTGCAGCTCTGGGCCCTGCCGGAATGGGGGCACATGCAAGGAGACGGGCAGCGAGTACCGCTGTACCTGCCCTTATCGCTTCACCGGGAGGCACTGCGAGATTGGTGCGGCCCCAGGGCAGGGGTGGGTGGTGACCAGTATGTTCTGAGGTAGAGCTGAGCCAGTTGGAATCAGCCTGGACAGAGTGCGGCATGGCCAAGCCCTAACCACCATGCACCTGCCTCTCAGGAACACCCTCCTGAAGACCTTGTTTCTGGGTTGGTGGGGAATTGGAGAGGCTGCTATGGACTGTGACACTTGACTCTGACAGGTGTCTTCTGCTTCCAGGAAAGCCAGACTCGTGTGCCTCCGGCCCCTGTCACAATGGTGGTACTTGCTTCCACTACATTGGCAAATACAAGTGTGACTGCCCTCCAGGCTTCTCTGGGCGGCACTGCGAGATAGGTAGGGTGGGAGCAGCTCTCCTCAGCTCTTGTCAGACAGGCCCAGTGGGCAGGATTTGTCTGGGAGGGATGGGAGATGGGCTGAGTACTGGAGGCAGAACACCCTCATGCAGCACAGAGACCCCGGGGAAGACATGTGAAGGGCCTTCTGTGTGCTTGCAGCCCCCTCCCCCTGCTTCCGGAGTCCGTGTGTGAATGGAGGTACCTGTGAGGATCTAGGCACAGATTTCTTCTGCCACTGCCAACCAGGATACACAGGACACCGGTGCCAGGCAGGTGAGAACTAGGTGGCTGTGCTTTAGCATGGTACCTTTTCCTGATTCCCTAATAGCTAGGCAAGGTAGGGATGGGAAAGAGGCAGTCTCAGAGGTGGCAACCCCCAGAAGCCAAACACTGTCCCCCTAGTGCAGGAGCAGGGCCTCCTTGGTCAGATAGAAAAATGGAGATGGGTCTGGGCAGGGGTCCTGCCACTCAGGATATGCTGATGTGCCTTTGCAGAGGTGGACTGTGGTCGCCCCGAGGAAGTAAAACATGCCACGATGCACTTCAATGGAACTCGCATGGGCTCAGTGGCCCTGTATACATGTGACCATGGCTATAGCCTGAGTGCCCCCAGCCAGATCCGTGTCTGCCAGCCACAAGGTGTCTGGAGCCAGCCTCCCCAGTGCACTGGTAATTCTGTGGGCCCTCAGGGATGGGTGGGCAGGGCCAACTCCCTCCTCCCCCAGCCACAGGGAGCGGCATAGAGCCTGAGCAAAGCCCCTCCCCTACCTCTTCCCTGTGAATGGAAACTGCATCCCATGGTGACAGGCATGATTGCTATCAGCTTTGCTCTAGACCATCCCACTCAGGGCTTCCTTGTCCTCAGAGCAACCAAGAGCAAGTCAAACACCCACAGACCCTCTGCAGATGAAGCAGCTGAGGCCAAGATGTAGCCAGGAGCAGGGTCCTGAAGAAGCAGATCTAAGTTCTGGGTCCCACCCAGCCCTGTGGAATCAGAGGCTGCATTTGAACAAGATCCACCCTCCACATCCTCATTGGAGGAGTGCTGCTCCAGACAGCATCACCTCTGAGTCCCAGCCTTAGCTCTGCCCTGGAGAGAGAGCCTTTCAGATGGAAACCCTGGAGCTGTGGAGCTCTGCTTGTCGTTGGTGTTGCTGTAGCTGTTGTTATTTGAGACAGGGTCTCCCTGTAGCCCCAGTTGGCCTGGAACTCACTATGTAGACCATGCTGGCCTTGATCTCACAGAGATCCACCTGCCTTTGCCTCCTGAGTGCTGGGATTAAAGGTGTGTGCCACCAGGCCTGGCCATGCTATGGAACTCTTAACATGACTATGAGTGCATGGTGTTGAGCCTGACCTGAGTATACAGCTCTGCCATCAGAAACTGTGTGATCATAACATAGTTCTCATGAAACACATAAACAGGGATGGAGCCTAAGAAAATGACCATTTCCCAAATGCCTGGAGAAGCCCAGCCCACCCTGTGTGGCCCTACTCAGGTGAAGAGTTCTGAAGAGGATCTCCTGGCCTCAGGCATCTATCCTCTACTCCTGCTCTCCGAAGTCCCAGGGTTCACACACCTTGCTCAGGAATGCATCTCCCAGTTCCATATCTCTTCATCATGTTGCCAGGCATGGTGTCCCTGGAGAGAAGGGGGCTTACTAATAAGGAAGCAAGATCCTGAGAAGCACGGCCACCTCCAAAGACCGTGATGGACACCCAGACAGCAGCCACTGGGGGCAGAAATACAGAAGACAGACAAACAGCACAAAAGAAAATGCACCTCCTATATGCATTTTATATTGTGCTGTACATTGTGACAATATGCAAAGTAAACGTGGGACTTCCCATATAGAACGTGCCCAATAAATTATGCTTTAAAGGAAAGTAGTGATAAGACTTTAAACTGCAGTAGTTGGAATAACTAGCATAGTTTATAAGCGGACACAGACGAAGACTAAGTTAGTGAACTGAGAGACAGCCGGACGACCTTCCCCAGAAAGAGGAGGAGCAGTTCATACACCCCAAACAGTGCAGAGCCGTGGAGGGGAGCAGGAACACCAAACCAAGCATAGGAATATCATGAACTAACAGAAAAGGCCTAGACGGGAAAACTGCCTTCAAAGGAATCGTGTGGGCATCAGACCTCTCAACACCAGAGACATAGTGAAAGTACTGCTTAATACTGAGCAGATGGCACTGATAAGGATGCAGACAGTCACCCTGGTTGTACTATGAAGGTGACACCCTGAGACCTGTAAAGTCACACTGTTAAACAGTCAGAGCTGAAGATCTGGAAGTTCAGGCATCCTTTCCTATGTGAGAAAGGTTGGTGGCACTTTTATCCTTGGCCACAGACCCACCGTGGGCAGGAGGTGACAGGATACGGGAAACTGGCCACACTTTGAATACTGTAGCAAGCACAATGGAGTGTCGTCAGAGAAGCTGGGATCACACTGCAAGTCCTCAACACCCACCAGTTCTTTCCCACAAGATCCTCTTGGGTACATGCAAAGCCAAGGTCAGGCTTGAAAATCAGACAGATATTTCATCATCCCATAAGGCTGAGGTACCAAATCCAGCAGGAGAGAGGCCTGCTCCATTCCTCAAATGTTTAAAAGTAATTGCCAAACAAAACCCCCTGCAATGGTGGCCTGGCCCAGTGACAGAGATAGCTCAGCCAGACTCCATGGCAGAAAACAGAGCTTGCTCATCCTTAGGAAAGGAATGTTCCACTTTGGTCTGCACTGTGCTTATTTACACTATGTCTGAGAAGTGAGAAATCACAGCACACAACCTAGAAAAGAAATAATGAAAGAAGCCTACAGATGTCCCAGATACTGGCACTCTCAAATAAGGACTTTAAAATGCCATTATAAATATGTTCAAGAAGGGACTGGAGAGATGGCTCAGTGGTTAAGAGCACTGGCTCTTCTTGCAAAGGACTCAGGTTCAGTTCCCCACACCCACATGGCAGCTAACAACCCATCTGTAATTCCAGTTCCAGGGGATCTGACGCCCTCTTCTGACCACCTCAGACACGGGTGCACCTACCTACATGCAGGCAATATACTAATACATGTAAAATAAAAATAATAAAATATTTTTAAAAGTATGTTCAAAGAAAGAGAATAAGGTAATAGAGAATTCAAATGGTAAAATAGATTCTAGAGCTGAAAATACAGCATGTGAAATGATTAACTGGATTAAACTGGATAGCCAACAGAATGAACACAAAGGCTACAGGACAACAAATTATATAAACTGAAATATATTTGTATTTGTATTTTTTTGGTCTTTTTGAGACAAGGTCTCCCTTTAGCCCCTGCTGACCTGGAACTCACTATGTAGACCAGGCTGGCCTTGAATTCACAGAGATCCGCCTGCCTCTGCCTCCTGAATGCTGGGATTAAAGGCATGTGCCACCATGCCCAGCTATAGGTATCAAAATTAATTTTTAAATTAACTGAATTATAAATAATGAATTTTTAAGAGACGGGGATCATTTGATGAGAGCAGTATTGCCTTACTATCAAACCAGAAAGACAGCGTGAAACGAGATTACAGGCTAATATTGCTTTGAACAGAGACACAGTAACTCTAATGAAGATACTAAACCAAGCCCAGTGCTACACAAAAGTATAGTATCGTCACAACCAAGTGTGATTTTACCTCAAGATCACACAGCAGACTGGCACAACATCTGAAAATTCATTGTACTTCATGGTATTGGGAGACAAGAGGAAACCATGTGATATATCATTTGCTATAGAAAAAATAACTTGGTAAATTAAACTACTATGCAATACCTCCTCATAGACTAAAAGCAGAAGGTATTTTTCCTCAGTCAAATCTAGGGCATCCATGAAAAATCCACAGCTAACATAGCTTAACCTTGAGCCTTCCCACTACCAGGAAGAGGCAAGGTGTTTGTTCTATCTCTGCTGGTCCTCAACACTGTCAAGATGAGACAATGCAACAGAAGTTACGACCATCAGAAAGGAAGGGAGGCGTGAAGGTAATTCGGCTGTGTGCACAGAAAATCCCAAGTAGATTCTACAAAAGAAGCTGTAGATTTAACCCAGGGGCAAATGGGGTTAGAGGAGACAAGAGCAACCTGCGTACAGCTCGCTGGGAAAAACAGCATCAAAATCCTAACCTCTGTTCTTGTGCAAAAAGAATTACAGACATAAGTGTAAGCGCTAAAACTATAAACTTCAAAAGACGGCAGATGTAAAGCACCCATGGCAGCCACAACAGCTGGCTACGCATTTAGGAAACATGACATCTGTCTCCTACTCGCCATTCATGGTGGTTAGTTCAGGGGAATTAAAAGCTTAAATGTTATGTAAAGCTATATAATTTTGTGTGGAAAATATAGGTAGCTATCTTTTTGACTTGAGTAAAGAAAGACTTCCTAGGTCACAAAAAGTACTTATAAAAAAAATGAACTGGTTTCAGTAGATAAAAATTAGGAACTTAAAATCTAACCTTTGAAAAAGCAAGTGAAATATAAGCTAGAACATGAGAGAGTGTATGTGTGTGCATAGACAGATCAGTAAATATTCACACACACACAGAGAGAGAGAGAGAGAGAGAGGTTTCAAGACTACCTGAAGAATACCAGTGAATCAGTAAGAAAAGAATAATAAGCCCAGTAGACAAATAGGCAAAACAGATACATATGTGTTTCATGTGCAAAGAGATACATAAGGCCAACAAACATGAAAATCAGCATTCTACTTCACTATATTAGGGACGTGCCAAGCATACATACTTAATTGGCAACATTTCAGAAGCTTTGGATGCTTGTTGGTGAAAATGTGGACTGATAAGATTTCTGTCAATTGCTGGTGGGAATGTAAGTTGCCAGAAGTGCTTTGAAAATGATTTTGTAATTTGCCTGCCGAGTTGATCACCAATACAGCCTCTGTCTCAGCAATCCCACTTCCAGGTAAACCTAAGAAAACACAGACCTGCACTAGGAGATGGTGAAGAGCCTCCACAGCAGCATCTTTCATAGTAAATCTGAAACCAACACAAGTGCTGACCAAACGAGAAAGATACAATATAAGCAACAATGGAACATTACACAGCAGTAAAAGTAGTAAGCTACAAGGACCCATGACAGCGTGGAGGGCTCTTACTAATGAGACGTTTAGTGAGAAAGAACATGACCGTGGCACTCTATGAATAAAGTGCATAAACAACAAAAATAAAGCCACACATTGTTTAGACATTCATCATGCCAAGCATGGTGGTACAGGCCTTTAATCCCAGCACTCAAGAGGCAGAGGCAGGCGGATCCTGTGAGTTTGAGGCCAGCCTGGTCTACATAGTGAGTTCCAAGCCAGTTGGGGCTACAGGGAGACCCTGTTTCAAAACAAACAGAAATAAAATTGTTTTTAAAAGCTATTTCTTCCCCCTCGGAGCTGAGGACCGAACCCAGGGCCTTTTGCTTGCTAGGTAAGCGCTCCACCACTGAGCTAAATCCCCAACCCCAATTTAAAAGCTAATTTTTTTTTTTTGGTCTTTTTGAGACAGGGTCTCCCTATAGCCCCAGCTGTCCTGGAACTTGCTATGTAGACCAGGCTGGCCTTGAACTCACAGAGATCCGCCTGCCTCTGCCTCCCAAGTGCTGGGATTAAAGGTGTGTGCCACCACGACCGGCTTAAAAGCTAATTTTAAAGAGACAAATCATACACAGGAGTTGGTGTGGCACAGAGAGAACATGAGCTTTTCTGGAAGTCACGATGTGAACCAGGGTGGCCTTGATCTCACAAAGATCCACCTGCCTCTACCTCACGAGGAAAATGACCATTTTAATTCAGGCTCACAACTCCCAGCTTAAAAGAAACCCACAATGAACCCTTTAAAGCTACAGTTTGCCCCCCAAGCATGCTGGTTTCACACCTGTGTGCTATACATGGAAATGTTAAGATCAGATGCCAAGCATTTCCTCCCAGGCCTCAGCGGCCATAGAAATTAAATCCCAGGGTATCTTGTGGGGGCTTTGAGGGGATCAGGAGTGACCCTAGTCATTTCATAGACAAAAGCCAGGCCCAAGACAGGATCACAGCCCACCATCCCCTCCAAGGGTCTCCAGCCCTGCTTTGGCCTCTTCAAGCATCTAGAAGTATCATAAACTTGTCCAGCTCCTCAGAACTACTTTGTATCCATCTTCATTTGGCTTAATAATGGCCGCCTTGCTTTGTCCTTGGAATCTTCTCAGAAGTAGACGAGTGTCGATCTCAGCCATGCCTGCACGGGGGCTTCTGCCAGGACTTCACTGCTGGGTACCAGTGCCTCTGCAGTCCAGGGTATGAGGGAGTCTACTGTGAGCTGGGTAAGAGCCTAGTCCCACTAGTGACAGCAGCTGAAGGCACTGGGTCCCCTAAACATGGCCACCCTCCTCTTCTCTCCCTAGGCAAAGCTCTTTATGGGCAGGCGGCCCAGCCATTGCTTGCTCCCTCAGGGTCATCTGATGACCAGGAAAGATTAACAAGGTTCTCTTGTCTCCTCCTGCCTCAGGGACTGAGGCTGAGCTGAAAAACACTGGCCAGACATCAGACTCTGGCCTGGAGGTGGGCAGAGAAGATGGACATCTGGTACTATCAGCCACTGGAGGGAGCAGGGATCTGCCCAATGTGTGGCAGGATAAGACCTGCACCTCTCATGCCTGTGTAGCACTCTAAGCCCCAAGACAGAGCTACTGCCCCCCCTAAGGGGGGGCGGCAAGGCCATTGCCAGTTGTGATGCCAGGAAGCATCCAGTCACGGGGGGCCGCTGCTGGCAGTGGGCAGCCGCTGCTGGCAGTGGGCAGCATACTTACCAGGGAGGAACAAGTGCAGGTGACAGAAGAAAAGGCCACTGTCCAAACGGAGACCCCAGAGACAAAGGACTCAAGGTCATGATGCTCCTCAAGGAGCACTTTGAATCCTGGAGGACTTGCAGGGGTCTCAGACCTGAGCCAGTGCTCATCCCCTGTCTCTACAGAGATGGACGAGTGCCAACCACAACCCTGCAAAAATGGAGGCTCCTGCAGGGACCTCCCCGGGGCTTTCATCTGCCAGTGCCCTGCAGGCTTCATTGGAGTCTACTGTGAAACAGGTAGAGTTCCCTCAGGCAGGTCCCCACATGCAAAGCCAGGGCTGCTGGGAGATCCAGGAGCCATCCTCTTGCTGGACAATCCATGTAGGAAGAGGAAACCCCAGGGCTATGGTGACCTGGAGAGAGGAAGGAGGCTGGGTGTGTGGGGGGGGTGGTCCCCAAGAACCCGTCCCACCCACAGGTACCCCATATCCTGGCCATTGCTCCTTGCCTCCCCCTATCCCTTCTTCCTGCTGTCCTCTCCTCCCTCTCCCAGAGTCCCTCCCTGCAGCTCGGGCCAACCCTTTGGGTGTTCTCCAGAGATGGATGCCTGTGCCTCCAGCCCCTGCCAGCATGGAGGCCGGTGTGAGGACGGTGGTGGGGCCTACCTGTGTGTGTGTCCAGAGGGCTTCTTTGGCTACCGCTGCGAGACAGGTAGGAACTCAGGCCTACCTGTTCACCTAAAAGCCCTCCGTGGTCCTCTGGTCTCCACTTTCCTACAGTTCCACCTCCTGGAACCCACACTTAGCCCTTGACCTCACACTCACCTCCGCTGGTCCTGCTGCCCCTGGATAGGCTGAGCTTGTTGCAGTCCCAGAACTCTGGACTCACTGTCCTTTCCATGGAGAACCCTCTCCCCTATTAGCCCATGGTGGGTCCCTCCAACTAGGCCTTCCCTGACACTGATACTGACTGCAGTGCAGCCCTGTTCACCACTCCTCCCAGTGTCACAGTACTCCTGATTAACATTCTGATTCTCTCTCTCTCTCTCCTCTTCCTCTCTCTCTCTCTCTCTCTCTCTCTCTCTCTCTCTCTCTCTCCCCTCTCTCTCTCTCTCTCTCTCTCTCTCTCTCTCTCTCTCTCTCTCTCTCTCTCTCCTCCCTGTCTGGAACCATCTCTATCTCAGCCTGAAATTGAGCCCCTTCTTAGAACAGGCACCATCTGGTGCCAAGCCTGTATTGGTCATGCGGGTCCTGGTAGGCAGTACTCTGCTATGTAAGGCAAAGGGAGACAGCAGTTGCCATAGTGCCACCTGACTCCTCCCACACCCATGCCACCGATGTAGTAAGGGGCCTGTGAGCAAAGAGGCCCCAGTGCCCTTCTCACTGCTGTTTCCCCCCTTCAGTGAGTGACCCCTGCTTCTCTAGCCCCTGTGGGGGCCGCGGCTACTGCTTGGCCAGCAACGGGTCCCACAGCTGTACCTGCAAAGTGGGCTACACAGGCAAGGACTGCACCAAAGGTGAGGACCAGGAACCCCAGGAAGGAGGACGGAAGGCAAGGGGGTCTGAGTGAACAAGACAGGGCAGGCAGCTGCTGATCCAGTCCCCTTCTTGAGAAGCAGGGAGGGGCACAAACAGCCACATGTGTGGAAGTGCAAACCTCCAGAGGACTATGGGGCCCAAGGGAGAAGGCTCCCTGCCAGCAATGACCTGGTCACCCAGGCCCCAAAGCTAGATGACCTGACTGGGAACAGCTTTTTCAGGGACCAAAGCTAACAGCTCTGCTTCTTTTGTGTTTTTGTGACAACCCTGAAGAGCTCCTCCCACCAACAGCTCTCAGGGTGGAGAGGGTGGAGGAGAGTGGAGTCTCCATCTCCTGGAGTCCGCCTGAAGGAGCCACCGCTAGGCAGGTGCTGGATGGCTATGCAGTCACCTATGCCTCCTCGGATGGCTCCTCTCGACGTACAGACTTTGTGGATCGGAGCCGCTCCACTCACCAGCTACGGGCCCTGGCAGCTGGCCGTGCCTACAACATCTCTGTCTTCTCAGTCAAGCGCAACACCAACAACAAGAATGACATCAGCAAGCCCGTAGCACTACTCACCCGTACCCGTGAGTGCCCTAGGGGCTGCCTGGCCACCTCTGCCCAGAAAAGGAGCCTGTTCTCACCAGTCTGCTTGTTCAGCAGACAACTCTGCATGGGGGCTGACTTTCCTACAGGGGAGGACATGGTAACCAGATCAGAAAAGGGAAGGTAGAAAGGGGCAGTCACTGGGATGGGAGGCAAGGAGCCCGAGGGGTAGCATCAGCAGAGAAGCCTGTTGCCCCACAGGTCCACGCCCCATCGAGGACTTTGAGGTCACCAACGTTTCAGCCAATGCCATCTCTCTGTGGTGGACTCTGCACAGGATCCAGCATGCCACTGTTCATAGAGTTCGAGTGTCCATCTTCTACCCTGAGGCCTCTGAGGCCCAATCTACTGAGGTGGACAGGAACGTGGACCAGATGACATTTGGGTAAGAGGAGAGGCCTCAGGAGCACAGGGGCCCAGTATTCCCTCTATATCTGCACACCTGCCATCCTCCTGAGTGGGCCTGGGGCCTGAATTCAGTCGCACTCTGGGGAGTGCAGGGGGCTGTCCTGCCTTGCCTGACCCCAAGCCATCACAAATAATAGTACCCTGAAAGTATTGAAGGTGCCTAGAAAGTGTGAGGAAAGTGTGAAGATCCTGGGTCTGTAGGTGCGTCCTTTGCAGAATTGCCAAAACTACTTTTCTAAGCCTGCTTGTTCCTCCCCTCCAGTCAGACAAGCAGCTGCACCGAGGACAAACTGTCTTGTCTTCTGCCTCTCAAGGCTCCTTTAGTTTCTTCTCAGGCCTGTTGTGCCCCAGCCCTCCCCTTATGTTTGTCATAAGCTGTCAAAACACGGTCAGCCTGAGGGTCAACCCAGGTCACCAGATGCTTGGCATGCACAGTCACGTTCCCATTTTCTCTGAATGTACAGCTGCTGTTGCAATGTCCTGCTCCTTAATGTCTGGCTCCCCAAATAGAAAGGAAAGAAAAATGAAATTTGGGGCCACTGCTTTTGGGTCCCCCTGGAAGTGACTTCAGCTGAGTGTGGAGGGGCTAGCAACAACAATGGCTCCATGTCCCCCTCTGTGGTCACAAGCAGCAACTGGGGATCCCCTGACACTTGGAGGAAGGCTCCTTTTTGCCCTTTCTGGATCATGCAGTGTGTGAGCAGAAGCCACTACCACAGCTAGAGATAGTTGGCTGCTGCTCAGCTAAGAGCTGATAGAATTAAGCCTATTTCCCACTAAGATCTCGGGGTGTTGCAGGCCTTCCACAGAGTCCAGAGTTACAAATAAGTCACATCAGATAGATTCTGCCTTGTACTTGCTGTGCAGGTGGGAGACAGATTTCCAGGATTCCTGTTACCATCTTCCCAAAACCGTCTGCGCTATTAGACGTTGCTATGACTTTTCTTGATTTACATTCTAGCTTCTCCTAACAGATGACTTGAGGCAACTTAAGGAAGGAATGCAAATCAGGCCCAGGTGGGCACGCAGCTGTGTCAGGGGGTCCTAGTCAGATGTATAGGAGCACTTGACATGCAGTGGTACTGGCAGCTGAGACAGCACAGAGAAGGGGCATGGAGGGGAGGCAGCAAAGGGACAGTGGCCAGATCTGGAGGAAATGGGACTGAGCTCTCTTCTGCATGGGTCCACACAGGACACTCTCCCATCCCAGCCAGACTGTGAAGTCAAGGATAAGATGCTGCAGCCCAGGGGCTGGGTCAGGCTCAGCACCTGGGGCGGCTCTGGAGCTGGCCACACAGTAACTCCTGCCTGTGTGTATGAAAATTCCAGACCCAGGAGCATCGCAGATGTGAGAGTGGGCCATGGCATTTACAGTAACAGTGTAGGTGCAGAAAGCCCTCTTTGCTGAGAGGCAGTGAGAACCCTCAGAAATCCAGATCATGACAAGGAGACAGCTGGACCACCAGAGCCCTTGTCTACACAAGGACCTTCTCCAGCTGGTCCATTTTTAGACTTCCTGTCTGAGCATCTCTCTTATGGCTACTCTCAGACCACTTTTCCGTGGTCTAAAAACCACTGATCTGCCCCTCATGGAGGTGACCTGAGCCACCAGTAGCAAGACACCCCCACTTCTGATCATACAGAGTGAGCCACAGACCCCTAGATGTTCCTTTCCTCTCTTCCCCTTCTGGTAGGGCCCTGCTGCCAGGAAGAAGATACACTGTACGGCTGACCACTCTCAGTGGGCCTGTGGGAGCTGAGCATCCCACTGAGAGTCTGGCCTCGGCACCCCTGCACGTGTGGACCCGTAAGTACAGGTGTAGCCTCTACCCTCAGCTTCCTCTCAGAAAAGATACCTTCTAGCACTCTGGTCTCCTCCTGTCACACCATCTTGTCCAAAGTGTCATTAAACTGGAACCCAGCCCTTGAGCCCCCAAGGTATCTTCACTCTGACAGAGACTGTCCAAGGATGAATAGTCCTGGACACTCCTTAGTATGGCCTTCACAGAGTGCACCAGAGGGCTCAGGAAGCACACTGGGATGAGGATGCCCAGGGCTCTTGGGCTATGTGACCAGCCCACTCTAGTCACACTCCCAGGTATCACTGGTCCACATGCTGTTTCCAGTGTGTGTGTGGTGAGGGGGAAGTGAGGGTCTGTGAGGAGTGGAGCCTGTGTACCAATGATGTCTAGTGGGGACAACTCTGTGCTCCCAGACCCAGGACTGCCCACTGTAGCCCTCAGACACTTAGGAGATGAAGTGGAAGGTGTGCCCTAACCTCTGCATACAAGCTTTCCACACTTCTCCCAGGATGATAGAGTCTCCACAGTAACCAGAGCTGGCTTCACATGGGACCCCGATCCCTTTCATATCTCGAACTGTGTTCCATTAACTGTCCTCTGCCCTGACCTTTATCTTTTTCTCCTATCCATACTTCATATAGGGCCCCTGCCTCCAGCAAACCTGACTGCCTTTCGGGTCACAGCCACCTCTGCCCACGTGGTCTGGGACACCCCCACTCCAGGTGTCTCACTGGAGGCTTATGTCATCAATGTGACCACCAGCCAGAGCACCAAGAGCCGCTATGTCCCCAATGGGAAACTAGTGTCCTACACAGTGCGTGACCTGCTTCCAGGTCGGCGGTACCAGCTCTCAGTGACAGCCGTGCAGGGCACAGAACAGGGCCAACTGCACAGTGAGCCTGCACACCTCTACATCATCACCTGTGAGTTCCGTGATGGGAGGAGGATGGGCAGGTATTCAACCTCATAGCTGCTGGTTGCTATTCTCAGGGTGTGGTATCCTTGTCCAGGAGAGGTGGCATGGGCCACTCTCTTCCTGGGACATCTTAGCCTAAAAACAGCTCTGGTGTGAATAGAGAAAGGAAGCTTTTCACTTTATGGTAAAGAAGGACACAGTGACAGGGATACTAATGATCTGGAAAAACACATCTGTCAAGCCTCATCTTATACTATTTCCCCAAAGCCAATCCCAGGCAGGCTGGAGCAGCAGACAGGACTTTGTCCTGACACAGTTACCAAGCAGGAAGCAAGGAAGAAGCCCTTCTGGGTCCTTCCTCCCTCCTCTCCACAGCCTAGTAGGCTGCTTGGAGACTATAGATAGTGAACATGACACACATATCCTATGCTAATTCTCAGACCCAACCCTGCTGTACTCCACCAGCTGGGCTTCAGGCCAGGCAGAAAAATAGATGGGGCTTCTCTGTGAGCCAGTCATTGCAACCAAGTCAGAGTCGGGATGAAAGAAGAAAGGAAGTTGCCTATCAGGGAGGCTGAAGGACACTGCAAGGGCCTAGTTGTCTGAGCTGAGGTGGCTCATCAGGAAACTCGACTTACAGGAGAGTATCTCCCAGATGCCTAGACCAAGTCTACAGCCTAGCCTTTGCTTAGCAGATGGAGGAATCTGCCTTGGAGGTGTAGGGGAAAGCTGGCCTTCCAGGCCAGTGTGTGTCTATTGTAGGACAAATGCACAGTCCCTGACTGGAAAAGATGCAGTGAGTGACAGAGGCTTCTCAGGTGACATGTGAGTCTCTCTTCCTTTGCCTAAGCAGGGCTAGGTGTGAGCTGTCCCTTCCCTGCAGCAGAGACAGAGGCAAGAATAGCAGGCAGCCCAGATGGTGGCTAGTTCCCATCCTTCTCCATTTCTTCAGCCCCCAGGGATGGTGCTGAGAGACGCTGGCACCAGGGAGGACACCACCCACGGGTACTCAGAAATAGACCAGCCCCTGTGCAGCTTCCAGAGCTACGTCTGCTCAATGACCACAGTGCCCCTCAAACACCAACCCAGCCACCCAGGTACATACTCCTAGCCCAGCCAAGGGTCCCCAGGCTGTGCTCAGCCCATGACACTCATACCTTCTCTGCAGATTCTCAGAGCTCGTGGACGGAAGAGGACGAGTGAGTGCCAGGTTTAGTGGCTTGCTCAGCAAATCAGTGACTGTGAGACCACGTGAGTGTTGCAGCCTCCCTGGCACCAACTCGGTGGTCAGCCCTGGTGGCCTGACTGACTCTTGTCCCCAGTATGAAGAGTGACGAGGCTCTTAAGACCTGGGTCTAAAAATGACACTGGTCAGTCCTGGCTCCAGCCAGCAGCCTTAATCTTGGCCATGTGTGAGATTCTGAACTCCTCTACCATCAACAATGGGAGGGACCAGTGGTAAGGGGCCTCTACATTGTCAGCAAAGAGACAAGAGGTTCAGGTTGCTGACAGGGCAACAAAAAGACAAAACATAAAACTGTTAAGGTGGGTGTGAAACATTTGGGGAGGTTTGCTTGCCAAGTTAGGATTTCCAAATTTTTTTACTGGGTAGACGGGAGGCTGTGAGAGTCTCATTGTATGCACTTAACATGTGTTCCTCAAACCAACAGCCTTGCCTTGAAGCTTCCAGAAGTACAGAACCATCCCAGAGCTTCCAGCCCTGGTATATCTTTTAAAAGGGGTTGAGTGATGTGTACATGCCTGCTCTAGGCGAAAAGTCCACCTGAAGTTAAGAGTCAGGTTTAAGCAGGTGTGACAGCCCATGCCTGTAATCTCAGTACTTGGAGGCTAAGGCCAGAGGATTGAAAGTCCAAGGCTTAGCCTGAGCTATATAGTGGAGACCCACTCTCAAAAACAATATAGAGAGACCAGTGAGATGGCCTAGCCTTGACAACCTGAGTTTAATCCCCAGAAGCCACTTAAAGCCACAATTCCAAAAAGTTGTCCTCTGACCTTGGCATACTTGTGTACACACTCACATGTGTATACACACACACACACACACACACACACGCACGCACGCACGCACGCACGCACGCATGCACATTGAATTCCAGAGACAGAGCCTTTGGGTTCTGGCTGTGCTTGGCTACCTGAGGCAGATCACCACTCCCTCCAACTTGGGTCCAGGTGCCCTGCATATCACCAGGTGATGGGCAGTAGAGAAGTCTGCATGTGAGAGGCCTTCCCTGTGATTCTGAAGGACTGCTGGACAGAAGTGCCCTGGGGACTTCACCTCTCACCTGAAGGCCAGGCACCTTTCCTCATGGGGTTCCCCAGCTCTCTGCTGATCATCAGTTCAGAACAAGTGCTCAAGGGAGCAGAGGAGTGGAGAGGCAGTGAGCAGCAGAAGGCCTCAGATAACAGGAGCGAGACACCAAGCCCAGTGTGGAGAAGATAGGATGCCTGCTGGTGGGCAGGCTGAGATTTGGGATCCCAAGGCAGGGATCGTCAGACTTGTAGCTAAAGGAGCCAACAGATAGATACCATGGAGAGAGACAAGATCTGTACAGAGATGACTTACAGCTGGGGGCCAAGAGCACCAACTTCTGAAAATGGGGCATAACGAGAGAAGACATAGTCCCGGGAGCAGAGTTGGAAGGAAAGAAAAGGGGAGCCTGACAAAAAGGAAGGGGAGCCCTAAAGCCTCAGATCTACAAAGAGCCTCCTTGAAAAACAGATCTGGGGAAGTGGAAAGTGTACCCTTCAGAGGGACAGCAAGAGAGTGGGCCCAGTTTCAGCTATGAGCCACGGTGCTCTCTGCCCATGTGGGGGATCAACAGGTGGGGGAACAGGCAGTAGCTCAGGAGGGTTGCCCCAGGATGGCCTGGGCATGAAGCAGAGGCCATGTGGTCACCCTCAGCTTCTCCTAGAACCTACCACCCTGGTGCCACTTGAGAACACAGAGGAGGTCCCTGAGCAGGTCCGCCTGGCCCTCCAGCTCTCCGAGAGCAGCGGCAAGGACACGGAAAGTAAGTCAGCTCTGTGGAGGGTACTGGAGTTGGTTTTTCTTTGTGGTGGGAAATCCCATAGTGGGAGTCTGGGGAGTACAGGTTTGCCCAAGGGGCAGTCAAGCACCCCAAGTGGTATAGGCATGGGGTAAACCATGCCACCCCAGTGGTACAATCTATCCCTTCATGAGGGAAAGAGGCCAGAGGACTGGATCACCCAGTCCATCCAGTATCTGTGTTGGAAAGAGTGGCCCATGCTGCCTCCTTTGAGTAGCCTCTCCCACTTTGCCCTCTTTCCCCACTGAAGCACCCATTCCAGGCCACCCGGCTTCACTTTTCCATAGAGGAGGTGTTGAGTCAGAATGGTGAGGATCAGCGAGGAATGACTGCTGAGCAAGCTCTGCCTTGAGGGATGCCTAGCCAGGCTTGAAAAGCATGCAGGGTACCCACCATCTGACTGTACCTAGACAGCTAGTTTGTCCCCACATGGCATCGGACCAACCACCTATCCTCATGGCGTTCCCCAGGTCTCTGCTGATTGTCAGTTCATTGAAAATGCTCACGGGGTCAAAGAAGTGGAGGGGAGTGAGAAACAGAGGGTCCCGTCCTTGCCAACATCTCCTGACAGGCAGCCAACAGTTTGGGGGGCTGTCCCTTTTGACAGCACAGATACTGCTCCCGTCAGACCCTCACTCTTACCCCTCCAATCCCTCTAAGGGTTAGGGGTTAGGGTTAGGGGAACCCAGTGGTTCCCCCCCACACTCTCCATCATACCATGGACTTGGGTTGCACTTGCCCAACCCCAAAGGTGGCCAGAATCCTTGGTGAGGGTGTGAGACTCACCTAAAAGACTGCCCTCTAAGGATACCTGTTCATATCAAGGGCACTTGCAAAACCAGAGAACATATTTGTAAAGAATGGCTCCATTGAGCCCCAAGTTCAATGTTCTTCCCATCCTGGGATCACCTAAACCAGCTCTTGGCCCTGTGCATACCAGAATGATAGCTATGCATGCAGTTTACCACTGTGTGAGCAAAGACACACTAGCTTTTTGAGTGGATAAAACAAACTCACTGGCTATTTGGGATATATCAGCTCCTTTAAGTACTAGATACCTCATTTCATAAAGCCCAGAAATAGGAAGGGTATGGGTTCACTCTCCTGGTCCTATTGGAAGAGAAGTCCAAGGCTGCTCCAGGACTGGTCTTGAGGCCATAGTCACCTTGCAATGAGGTGATTTTCAAGTGGTTCCACAAGAAAAAGAATCCTTCATGGCCCCCAGATGGGGAAAATCTTTGGTTCATGTTACATTCTGCTGTCCTTTCGTTAGTTTATCTACCTCTGACAACTCTGGAGCCCATGCTGGAATCTGGCAAGGACCTTTCTCTCGCTGTATTGTTCCTGGGCTCATCCTGCAGCCACCTCCATCCTATACTTTGTGTCTGAGTTCTTAGTCCTGGAATGGGTGGTTATGGGGTGATTTTTATCACACATAATAATGGAGGGGGCTCTCTGCAAGGCATGTTCTTTTACCCCAGCTCTTGGTCACCTGTGCTATCAATCAAGTATCCACACATGTGTGAGTACATTCTGGACTGTCTCCTTTGTCCCAACACTTTCCCTTCTATGAACCAGTATACCCAGTTTAATGCCAGTGGCCTAAGTGTCAGGGCCAATCCTCCCACTCTGACCCCCAATAGTCTCAATCGTTCTTCCAATTGTTCCTGGTCCTCTGCACATCAGCTTTGTTGACGTGAATAATGTACTTGCTCAGACTTTACATAGTCAAAATTTGAAAGCTATGTCTGCCTGTAAACTCTTTAACAGCTCTCAGATGTGAGGGACACTTCAGCTGCACATAAAATGCCAGGGTCAGAGCTCCTCTCTCCATTGTCATCTGGTGTTCAGTCTCGTTCTTGTTTCTTTGTAGGGTCATCTGATCCTCTTCTCTGGAAGAGCTATATTTTTCTTCCTCAAGGAAAGGAGGCTCCCCAGCGGGCCCCCAGGTATCCCTAAAGCACAGTCAATGTTCCTGATGGGTGTTTTCTCACCAAGCAACTATCCAGGTCAGGGTGGCACCCTTATGCCCAAGGGAGAAGCTGTGGAGAGAAGGCAGATTCCCACCCCAGCAATCCTGGGGGGGGGGGCTGCAGGGGAACGAGCATAGGGGCAGTTGCTAATCCTGGGCAGATTACCCCCGTTTTCCCCCAAATCCTCACTCCATCAGCATTTCAGGATTCTGGTTTCTCCCCCTAGACACGACACCAATGGTCTAGGTGCCTACCACCAGGACAGGCAGGTATCATCCCCAGACAACAGCAGGGAATGCAGGGCTCTCCACAGGGGACATCAGAGCACCCAGCTACAGGGTTTCAACCACACCTCTTTACCACCTGGTTCAAAAAAGCCATCTGGTCTGTGTGTGTGTGTGTGTGTGTGTGTGTGTGTGTGTGTGTATGTTAGTGGAGGTTATAGGACCAGGCTATAGTAGGTCCCATTAACCTTCAGATTCAGCCCACAAATAGCAGAAGTGTCCATTGTGGTCCCCATAGTCTTGGCTTTTCCATGCACGGACGGTGATGACATGAGTTTGTGGGCTCTCTATAAAAGTCTCTAGACGTGGGGCTGGAGAGACGGCTCAGCAGTTAAGAGCACTGACTGCTCTTGCAGTAGACCCAGGTTCGATTCCCAGCACCTACATGGCGGCTATGAACCGTCCTTAACTCCAGTTCCAGGGGAATCCAAAGCCTTCTTCTGACCTCCGCGGGCATTGCACAACACGGGTGCACTCACATACATGCAGACAATACACTCATACACATAAAATAAAAATAATAAATAAAATATTTTTAAAAGTCTCTAGACATTATGTATAGCCAGGTGTGGTGGTGCACACCTTTAATCCCAGCACTTGGGAGGCAGAGGCAGGCGGGTCTCTGTGAGGTTGAGGGCAGCCTGGTCTAGTGAGTTACAGGACAGCTGGGGCTACAGGGAGACCCTGTCTCAAAAAGACAAAAAAAAAGTCTCCAGACATTATGTATAATACCTAAAATTCATATGGAAATTGCAAGAGACTCAGAATAGCAAAAAAATCCTGAAAAAGACAGAAAGGAAGGAAGATTCACATCCCGATATCAAAACTTGCTACAAAGAAAGTATGGCCTGATTCTGGACAGGTATTTCAATGGAGCAGAATGGAGAATCCAGAAATAAATCCTCATGTCTACCATCAACTGCTTCTGACACGGGGACCAAGACCACCATGTAAGGAAAGACAGTCTTCTCAAGTGGAATAGGCCAGGCAATGTTCAGATGCAAAAGGATAAAGTGGGGCTCCTACTCTGCACCACAGACCACACACCCAGATTAACAAGGAAAGACCCCCAGTGCTAGGAGCTGAAAACTGAAGAAAACATAAAACCTTAGATTTGTAAGAGAATTCGTACATACAACACCAAAACTATGAACAACAAAAGAAAAAAATGGCCAATCGGGTTCAAGGCCAGCCTGGTCTACATAGTGAGTTCCAGGACAGCTGGGGCTACAGGGAGACCCTGTCTCAAAAAGACAAAAAAAAAAAAAAAAAAAAAAAAAAAAAAAAAGCGACATCATCAAAATTCAGACCTTTTGTGTTTCAAATGACACCATTAAGGAAAAGACAACCCACAGAATGAGGTGAAATATTTTCAAATCATACATCCTACAAGAGACATATCTACATATATAAACAACTCTTTAAAATGAATAATGAAAAGGTAAATAACTAACAATTTGAAAGCAGACAAAAGATCTGAATAGACATTTCTCCAAGGACACAAGTTAACAGTCAGCACAGGAAAAGAACTTGACACTGTCACTTATCAGGGATCTGCCGACCAAAACCACAGCAGGATGCTGCTCCCTACCCACAAGGATGGCTCAAATACAGTCTGACAACAGGTAATGGTGAGGGTGTGGAGCAGCCAGAGTCCCAGTCACTGCTGGGGGAGACGTAATGTGGCTGATGCAGCCGCTTGGGATGGGGACAGATGGGCAGTTCCTCAAAAAGTAAAACCGGAGCTACCCTGTGACCCAAGAGAAAGAAAAGCATGGCTTAACACAAGCCTTGTACATGGATATTCATGGAGGCTTCATTAGTAATCACCAAAATGAGAACAAGCAAGCCAGCCAGCCAGCTAATGATAAACTAGCCACAACGTATCCACCCAACCAAATGTCATTGATGTAAGACAGGGATTAAGTCCTGCCACAGACTACTACATGGAGGAAACTTGAAATGTTACACCAATGAAGGAAGCCAGGCACCACAGCCAGCATAATGAAAATCTAGAATAGGGACATCTGTAGTGATGGTGAGGATCTCGGTGCGCCTCAGGACAGAGAGAAGGGAGCATGGAATGCCAGCCAAAGGGTATGAGGTTTCTTTCTTTTTTAATCTGTGGTTTAACATTCTTTTTTATGTGTATAAGTGTTTTGCCTACATGTATATAAGTGCACCACATGAGTGCAATGCCCACAGGGGCCAGAAGAGGGCGTTGGGTCCCCTGGAACTACTATGTGGGTGCTGAGAATTGGACCCAGGTCCCCTGCAAGATCAAGCACTCTTAACCACTGAGCCATCTCTCCAGCCACATGGTGTCTTTCTGAGGTGATTAAGTGTTCAAAGTAGACTGTGGGAGCCAATAAGAAGGATCTGTGGGTAAAGCCACTTGCTGCCAAGCCTGACAACTTGAGTTCAATCCCTGGAACCCACATGGCAGAGAAAGCTGATTCACCTGAGTGTCCTCCAACCTCCACACATGTACCATGGCATAATAGCTCTCTCTCTCTCTCTCTCTCTCTCTCTCTCTCTCTCTCTCTCTC